AACGATCAGTATTTTAACCGTCTATAATAGGGTCTTCCGGGAAGATCACAATCTGTTTCCTTTCTCAGTCAATCCATCAAATACCAGACTAAAAGTAACATTTTTCACTCACGTAGCATTATAGTTTTTTCCTTCCGTAAATCTTAAAACATTCACAAAGGTGGGTAAGAACTGTCAGCTCAGTGTAACAATTCAGTTTGCAGCAGTTCCTATGAAAGGCATTGCCAGGTCAATAGATATGATGCAAATGCACAAACTCAGGAATCAGAAAGCTCTTCTTAGCTTTGCTCCAGGCTTCTGAAGTAAACATAGGCAAAATAAAAGCACACTATGTTCTAGTTACTCATCTTTAAAAGCAGAGGACAACAGTACTGCTTCCAGAGAGGCAGCAGTAAAAGCTTCCACTAAAGAGAAAGCATGAAATCTGGGGATCTGTTTAAGCTCGTCAGTTAGAATAGATGCGTTCAAAACTCACGACCTGGGCACATTGTGCTCAGAGCTGGAAGGCACGCATTGGTCATATAACAAAATGACTCCTCCAACACGCTGCATATTTCTTTTCACTTTATTTTAAAGATTCCTTTGTGAGCTGAAGCAACAGCAAAATTCTAGGTTTCCCACCTTCACTTTCACCAACTCATATTTTCTTTAACATCCTATCATTCCTGTCTTGAACTTTCTAAAAGTACCAGACAATGTATTTGTTCAAACTTTGACTACCTAATAATTTTTCAGAGCTTTTTTTTGCATTGAGATGTTCAGTGGCAGGAAAAAGGGATAAAAAAGTATCATAAAGTTATTTTTAAAACTAGGAGGTCACACTCTGAAAGAGACATTAATTATACCATTTTAAATCTACATTTAAAATTACTTTAGTGACATTCAACCTAAAATTTGTGATCCTTCATCATTTCTTCCCCCACTCACCCCTTCCTTTAGTGACTCAAAGACGACTATAACTTGACTTATGCAACAGCATCCTGACAACTAATTTCTATGATTTGGACTACCAAGAAGCTTCAACCTGTTTGTAATAAACCATGTACGTGCATAGTTCCAGAACAAGGTTTTTCATTTGCGCCTGAAGAAAAAGACCTCTGCTTCTGGAAACCTACCACACAAATCTACATGGTTCTTAAATGCAATTAGCCGAGTGAAAGAAAGGTCATCTCACATACACAGAAAGACTACAGGACATTCACCTTGCTTAGGAAAAGCCCCGGAAGATAGATGCAACTTTTAAATCACCACTGCGGGCCTCTACAGTAAAGCCTAACTCTACTGTATAAAGGCCACTAGTTACATCTCAGAATTTCAGTAAGAGAACTTTATCCAAGAGAAAGCTTTAAATATATCTTTTGTTAACTTTTATCACCATTTCTCCAAGTCAGAATAGCAGCACAAAACTTCTTCTAGGCCAAATGGCTTAAGCAATGTAGAAGATTATAAACGCTCAAAGTTTTTAACTTTAAATTCCAAGAGGGCAAAAGGAAAGGCAGAGAGAAAAGAATACGGCTAGAGGATTTCAGACAAAAAAAAGTTCCCAACATCAAGATATAGAGAAGGTAGAAAACTAGCATCAGTACAACACATAGCACTTCCCAGTGAAGGATAGAAACAATCTGATTAGGGAAAAGATTACCTTCTGCAGCTCCTTAAAAAAAAGTTATTGTAGGGGCCAAAAAAAAAAACCCATCCAAAAAAAACAAACCAAACTCACACACACACCCTTAACAAAACGCTGCCTCTCGCCCATGTTCAGGGAATATAATAAATCAACTTATTTTCCTTTGTTCAAGGCAGATCATAGGTAATTAACTTTTTTTGACGTTTCACAAGTGTTCATTTCTCACCCCTACTTCTTCCCAGTCACATAATTTTCTAATTAAGATACATCAACACTAAGAGGACAAGTACACTTGTTTATCTGTTCAAAAATATCTTAATAAATTGGATGAACAGTAACCAAAGTATGTCTCTGCGTGCCCTGAAAACCTGCCCTTCTTACCACAAGTTATTTTCTCTCAGCAGACACACTTCCACCCTTCAAATACTCCAACAACAATGACTTCTGGGGAAAAGCAAGCACCTCAGTTTATTTCACAACTACTCACAAATGGAGTAAAACAAAGAGCTGAAAAAAACCCTCTACTTGGCAGCCTATATGAAGCAGACCTGCTAAAGTCAAGACAGACAGATATTGCGTAAACAATTAAAGAGCACTGCAAATCCAAGTCATAGACAGACTTCACAAGCGCTCTAAATTCACAAATGGCTATAGAATATTTACAGGCATGGACAGGTGTCAGAAACTTCTTTATTATTACTGATAAGGAAGGGAAATCAGGATAACCCTTCCCCTGACCCAGCCCTTCCTTCATTCTACAAGGATTGGTCAGAGATTGCTTTTGAGTTAAGTAAGAGGAAAGATGCGGAAGAAACGAGGAAACCTTTACTATCCCCAGCTCTATGAGACAACGGCATGGAAGAAGCCAAGAGGCATGTAACAAAATAGGATGTCCTTTAACAACAGATTGCCAGTTTACATGCAGCCTAGTCTAGACTAGTGCAAGATGATGGTTTCCCTGCTCTACCTGTTCTGCGGACTAAAGGACTTTAGCCCTGCAGACATTTTAATTCACAAAATTTTATCAACATAGCTGCAGTCCGGGAACAGCTCAGGTCAACCATGACTGAAATTCATATGGCTTTCAGCTACCCTTAGTGGCTGGACTGCCATGAGTTTCAGTGAGAGAGAGAGGTTTATGCATAGCACTGATAAGGGCAAGAGGTCCTTGGAAAACGATGGCTACTCACTGCCCCAAAACCTCTGGCTCTTCTAGATGTCTCATCCACAAGTTCTCCCTGGGAGAGACCTTAAACATCTTAAGTTCTTTACTAAGATAGAATTCCAGAGGAGCAGAAAATCCATGTGGACAACAACCCACTGCAACAGAAAGCAGCCATTTTCACCATAAAAATAGCCCACTGAGTTACCCGGAGTGGAAACGACAAGCAGATATCTCATTGTTCAGAGGGAATGACTGTGATCCCTTATCCAAACTGGCATTCCATGCAAAAGTTCCTGAGAATCAACAGCATCATGCACTATCTAGATGAAGTTGTTACTGACCTGAAAGTTACACAGGGAGAAACAGAGGCTACATAAATTCTAGACAGATATGTTCTCACCAACATTAAATAAAGTGTAAACTGGCTATCTCATTATTTGTTTTAATACAGACGGAAACCTACTGACACTTGCTGAGAAAACAGCACCTGACTCTTCCTTCCAACAGCGTAACTGCAAGAACTGTGTGCCACTGAACGATTTTGCATTGTGAAGGTAGTAAGACAGTGGTTGACCTGGTCTTGCTGTCAAACTCAGTTCCCAGCATTACTATCTTCTGCATGTTTTTCCAGAGCTGGTTCTTTTCTCTTGGAACTCAGTGCCAACACAGGCCTCGAGAAATAGTCTGTGGAGGTGTTACAGATCCTCACAGGATGACTGTCTCACTCCCAACTACACAGGATGGCTGTTTAACAAGCCCAACTACTTTTGTGCTCCGCACAGGCTCTACTCTTTCCTTACCGAAGCAAACAGCGTAAGCACTGTTCCCCTCAGAACATGGGAAATACCCATGACTGCAGGTGCCACTGTAAAGAACATGTAGTACAGTGGTCAGTATAGAAAAATCTCTGCTGACACTGCTGGTTTCAGTGCTCCACCAGGCAACACTTTCTGTTCAGAGAGCTGCACTGAGTTACAGCAACAAAGGATATTTGACTGGGTGGATCACTTTTCTCTAGCACCAAATATCCTTTTCAGGGCTGTTCAAGTAATAGAAGTTGCACAGTTCTTGATCTTTGGAAGTGGGCATGTTTCCTTCCCCAAAACAGATTAGACATCTGCTGCAAGTCTAGATTAAAAGCTTCAAGTCCACTACACAATGAATTTATATAGTTTCTCACTATAACAACTGGCACAAAGCACCACGCTCCAATATTTTTTTGGACTCTGACTTTTGCTTTTTTTTCCCCCCGAAACAGTAAAATCAGACAAAATACAAAAGAAAAAACTTAAGAAACTAATGCAGAAGGTGGACATTCGGCTCCTAACCTCCATCTTCCCACCCAAAATAATCCCAGACTAGGGTAGTAGAGCAAGAACTCACTGGGTCATGTCTCTTTGCTTTGGGTAGTCAGTGGAAACAAAGGGAATTTTGTAACTGCTCTTTCCCCCCCCCCCCTTGTCAGAGAAGACAAAGTATCTGGACTGCCTCAGAGGGTACCAATCAGAAAAAATTCGGATTTCATATGCATGAGGCACCCTCCACTGAGGGACATACTCAAAAAAAAACTTGTTTATTCCCAATCATGACCAAGATTGTAATTAACTTCTTTTAACTTTCAAGAGTGCGCTGTACACTGAGGAAACAAGGTTGTGCAGTATAATGAAACAGCTCAAAGAAAATTAAACAGTAACAATTTACTCCTTGCACGCCTATGTTTAAATTACAGATTTTCTACATACCACAGTCAACTATACATACGTCCTTTCTGCAAACTACCAATAAGCCACACAGTTTACAGGGAAGATCAGGTTATATTGAAAAGCTGTAAACTGACAAGAATGACAGACTGCTTGATTCTGCCTTGAATTTGATCGTGACAACAAACCTCCATTTCTCTATTGCCTGCCACTCAAGCATTTCTACATGCACTTTACCAATATCACTAATTGCCTGTATAGGCTACATAAGAACTACTGCATCCATCACCAAAACTCAAAACGCGACAGCTGTTTATTAGGTCACGGCAGTGATGTGAGGTACCCGCTTTGCATTTTCCTCAAACATTTGGCACCTGCAGAAACACAGCACCCCCTAGCTCCCACAGGACTCATGAGAACTATCAGTGCTGAATAAGACTGCATTTCCTGCAAGTCTGACACCTACATGACAGGGATAGCAAAAGCGTTGTGTTACCTGAGCACTTACCTGTCCTGGGGTCAAACAGCTGATTGGCCTCCAAGTCTGTGAAAGTGCTGAAGCAAATGGGACATTTAAAAGAGGCGCGATTGGTGGAGTCTCTTTCATCAGTCTCAATCCTCCTCCTCATGTGGTCCAGCTTGTACTTCACCACATTAACCAGAAGGCGGTAGTTGATAAAGTAATAGTTATGACGGGTGGTTTTGCCATCTGGAGCTGTCTCTACCCTCATCCTGCATTTGATGAACTTGTCACCCTTGAGGGTGTTGAGGACAGCCCGCAACTGCTTCCTGTCAAACTTCAGGAGCTCCAACATGTCCTCTTCCTTCACACAGGGGTTCCGGATGAGAATGTCCAGAGCCAAAGCATGTTCAATGCCATAAAAACCACGAACCACGTATTTGGCAAGGCGTTTGAGTGCTGCTGGAACCTCAGTGAGGACATCTGGGTCAGTCATATCAGGTTCAGATCCTGAGTTTCATGTAAACTGCAATGAAAAAAGGTATATGGATTTTTAGCTAGTTTTAGCAGTTTTGATTCAATTACTTATAGACAAGGAAAAAGGTTGTTTTCCATTTCTCTTTCCTCAGCCCTGAAAGCTCTCTTTAGGCGTTAAGAATGCCAACACTACAAAAATAAAATTAGAAACCTTTTTAATTAGGCACCTTTCATTCATAACAAAATGGTGGAAATTTAAGAAAGCAAAGAAATTGCAACCTTAACACTTGGTAGATTTCTGTTCTACCCATCAAGAACCAATGGAGCTGGAACAAGAAATCCATCTTGAAGCTAGAGCTCCAGTAGATGGCTTGATGACCTGCTGAGACTTGTAGCTAGGGAGAAGAAAAACACTACAAGAACAAAGGTCCTAAGACAGTCCAAAAGAGCAGTCTCATCCCCATTTCATGTCACTAGATCATATCAAAAATATGCCTGCCTGCTTCTACTCCTCAGACATCACCAGACAGAGATCTTCTACGAGGACAGCTTGCTACTACAGACTGGTATGCATTCAGCAACGGCTCCCCAGATGTGCTGTAAGAAAGATGGGCTTGTTCCTTACTTTTTAATAAATAGATCATAGTCAGCTGTCTGCAGCATGGCAGCTACTAGCACCATCAATTACTACATCACAAAGAGCTGCAGCCTTGATCCTAGATGAGCAAATTATTTCCTTCCAGAAGACTGATCCCTCATTTAAAGTGTTTCATATTCAGGCCTTAGAATCCCAAATATAATATAAGAGAATAAACAAAGATCAAGGCTTGGTAAACATGAAGGGATGGATCTGTTTAGAAAAAAAAAAGTATGAAGTAATGATAGAAGTATAAGAAAGGTCAATGACATATCTTTTGAGTTACTCACGAAAACTTACTACGCTGTCTGTGACAAGGCAATATCTTCTAAAGAAAATGTATTTCCACTTCATTTTTCTTCAGTTTCAAATACAGTGGCATAAATGGTCATGGCAATTATGTTTCCTTGTATGCCACAGAAGCATTTATGCATCATGCAAGGAATTCATCATTAGTATTGTCACATCTCACATAGATATAAGAAACTAGCTGAGAACCAGATCCAACTCACCGCTGCGACCCTTCTAAAGCAATCATTTTTGTCTAATGGAAAAGGAAAGCGACTCAACGCAGTACAGAGCAAAGGTTTATTATGATCTCACAAGGTGGCTTTGTGCATTTTCCCCTCTACTCTTTCAAGACTACCCATCTGTAAGCAACAATAAAATTCCCTTCCACTCATAACGCACTTTGACTTCAGGGTACGAAAGGTTCAAGATAAATGTGGATTATTATAGCTGTTTTTGAAGCACTGATACAGAGGTTAGTATTTCCAGTTACTTTCACACAAAACTGAATAGTCTCCCATTTTATTATGCAACTTATGCTCCTTTAGGATATGAATAGCCATTTCTTCAGCAAAAGGTTCCTTCAACTGGAGAAGAAAAAAAAAAGACCTGAAGTTTAGTTTGTTCTTCAACACTAAGCAATTTCTATCAGTGAACTAATATAAATAGTGAAATCCTGCCACTCTCAATTTTTACTTCTGTTAGGTGTTTCACACACTGAATACGTACCTCCCCAGCAATCCAGTCTCAAATAAAGGAATGAAGAGATTGACAGCAGAAAAAAGAATCCAGATAGAAGTCCCATTTTCTTCACCACTGCCATAAAACACCCAATACTCCTTCGGACAAACCACCACAGAAGCTTTCTGTGCTCTCCAAACTAATAATACATCCCCCTGGAATCACCAAGCTCTAGGTGCAACTAAGCAGCTGCTGACTCACTTCTGCTACAACTACTTAAAACTTTCTAACCATTTATGCCAATAACCTGCTTTGATTTCATTTTTTTTGTGCAAGAATACCGCACCCCACTTAAAACCTTCAATCCATCAACATCACCCCCTGAGGCTTCATGTTTCTTGAATCCCCACCCTCTTCTCTCACTCCTCTTCTGCAGCTGAGGAGGTACGGTTCTCTCAAGGGTTAGGGTCAGTGCAATTACAAAGCCTAGTTGTTTTGCATTGTGGAGCTCAATGGTTAAGTAAATTAAAGCTGTCTGATATGTCCTTGCCACCTTTCAATTAGAAAAATTGCTTTTATTCCTTTCTTCTAAAACCCTTTCTCTTTTAAATGTTCCCTTTAAACTTAAGGCCAAAGGCTTGGCAGGCTGAGAAGGGCTTGGGGAAAGCAATGCTTGTACATCTATTTCCAATTTCTCTGAAAAAGAAATCAAACTAAGATGTGCTCATCATAGCATGAACTAGCCATGAAATAAGTACTTCTAGAGTCATTTAACTGTTTCTCCTACATGTCACAATGGCTCATCTACAACATAAAGAACATTTTTTTTGGAGCTTCCTGTTAAAAGATAAAAGTGTTGGAAATAAATGGTATCCTGCAGAACAGCCATACAGTATTTTTAAAACTCTTAGATTCAATCTGTATATAGTCACAGAACACTATAAAAACACCAGCGGAATGAAATTGATTTTCAGGGACAATCTTACTGTCACTTAAAGCTAAATTTTGGTTTTGACTGAATCTGCCAGGAACCTGCTGATACTATAAAAGACAATGTGAATGCAGAATCTGGCCAGAGGCCTTTATTTACTCACATTCGTTAATTGTATCTCTTCAGAGTGAAATCACTGTATAGAATTAATGTAAACACAACAACTTAAAATATAAAGTATGGGACCCCAAATCAGACTAAAGAAGTCAAATTTTGAAAGATAAGATGCTTTAAAAAAAAAAATGTTGATCTCAAAAAAAATCTTCTCCCGACCAATCTTTTGTCCCCTAAAAAATCATTGCAGAAAAGTCAGGGAAAAGATCTTGTAGGAGATGCCGTGACCTTCAAAATATCACTTGTTATGAAAAAAGGGGAAGAGCACTTTCAGACAGGAACATTTCACCCTGGATACCTCACCTGAGAGCACAGGTGGAAAGCATTTTCTCTGCAAGACTTTCACTAATAAGAGAGTTACAGACTTCCATACAAGGTGCAGCTTTCAGAACACAGTTAAGGTACAATTCCCTGAACAATGCACTTGAACTGCTCAAACTTAAGACCTACAAAGGACTAATAATCAAAACTTAAGTTTATGCAATTTGATTTCCAGCAATAGTTAGAAATTTAATAATATTTCTTAGTGTCAGATACTGGAAACAATATTACTAGCTCGTGGGGCCAGGAGTTTTTACACAATTGCTATTTCTTCTCTTCCACTGGAGAATTTTAGTCCCATCCAAGTCCTCTATGTCCTCAGGTAATATCGGACACCTTCTTTCAGTTCAGCACTTTTTTCTTCTAGGCACGGACGTATGCAAAGAAACCCCAACTCTGAAAAGTGGATTAACAAGGAGTAAATTCTAAATTCTGCAGAAGACAGCCTTTGGGCTAGACAACTAATTGACCAGTATCAGTTCTAGGGAAAAAAAAGGCAAGCAAGGCACCAGAGAACACCCCAGTCAAGCTTCGCTGCATGAGTTTCAACAGTGCAAGATAACTAATTTTGCTCTGAAAATCAGTATGGATACTTGTTCTACAATTACCAAGCTTTTTATTATATTGAGGCCTTAATGCCAAACTGACCAAAAGCTCGGGCTTGAACAAGATTTTTATGATGCAGGTTGTATTTTACAAAAGCCTTCTCGATAATCACGTTCTCAGGCAAGTTATGCAATACAGAAAAACACCATGAGCAAGAACATACACTGTTATAAGAACTCACTGGGGCAGGGTCCATTTCTCTAGGAGAGTTTGACATCCTGTTGTTCTCCCACAAAGAATCCCAGGTTATAGCACAGAATCTCACTTGTACCTTTCACCAGCCAAGGAGAGGGATCCAGGTCACAAGTGGCAATGCAACACCACAAGAATATCAATTTAAATTTAAGAGCACAGGTCTTTCCATCGTAACCTTGAGCATTGATTTCCTCTTCCATGGAAGCAGTAAGCCAAGCTTGAATTAATTAGGCGTGCAAAGAAATATAGTAACATTTCCTATCAAGCTTTTAATGCATGTGGATCTGTTTCATAATAACGTATGAACAGCAGGGCACTGTCAAGAAAAGAACAGAAAACAACAGCCAAGATAAACCACCATGGGTTAAGCACCTGAAGCACCACTAATAAACCACACTAGATAGGAGGATATTCAGAAATATCCAACTGAAAGATTTCAAAGTTTAAACATAAGCTTTCCTAAGAGACACAGCTGTTTGGGAATTGTTCTGGGTAATTAAGTGAATCCAATTCATTATTAGGGATACATGCAGAAGGCAGACCTGCCTACATTTTAAGAGTAGGATGATAACACTAAATATATTTTTTCCCCCCCCCCCAATTGCTCTAAATGGAAGCTAAAATATTGATTTCGCTATGAGAGACACTACTGAGAAGAAAGAACTATAGCTACAAATCCAACTAGATCTGTGGGGTGAAGAAACTCAGGGTCCAATATGCATAACGGAAATTGTACCTCAGGTTGAGTAAAATGCATGAGGCACAGTTCTTGAGAGAGCATACCCAGAGATGCCAGAAAGCAAATAGAGGAGAGCAAGCCACTGCGACCATGAGAGCAAACACACATTTGTTAATGCGGGGACCAGAGAACATATGGTAGCCAGAAATTCAACTGTGCGAGCATCTCCAATGGTCAGGACTTTGTTGACGCAACACCAAAGCAAATGAACTCTTCCTCTCCATATACAGAGATTTCAAGAATTCTTTCATAAATTAACAGGAATTGTGCTAAGGATGTTTGATCTTCTTTTCTTTCTGCTTTTCCAGACTAAAGCTGTGACAAGAGACGACAAATGTTAGAAAGACAATACTTAGCAGCCACAACATGCATGAAAATGTAAGTTGACCAATCAGTTAACCTGAACTTTCATCCAATGCAGCACACAAGCACCATCTTGTTCTAACATATAACTTTGAGGCTTACATTGATTCCACCAGTAACTTCACCAAAAGTTTTAATTTACTAAGTCTCACTGTTCATATATTTGATAAGGTAAACACTTCACAGCAGGATCTTGAAACAGGATGCAGACTACTCTTCAGACTCATTTGGGTAAGGAAACCCTCTATAAAACTCCAGATCTCTTTTAGAGAGAAACTCAGAGCTGCAGGATTGGCAAGGAACCTGGGTCTATCTTCATGCTTGGAAAGGGGAAGGTACTTCTATTCATCCTCCTCGCCCATCTAATCTGTTAGTGCTCTTTCAGCTAAACCTTTCAGCACCAGGCTTTACTGATTTGTTTGGAAAAAGTTTCTGTAGGCTCATGCTGTAAGGTTAAAAAGAAAATTAGGTTAAAAAAAAAAAAAAGACTTACACTGCTAAGTTACTTGGAAACAAAATACTTTTTGTTCTGTCTGCAGTTTTTACACATGAATTCTGGAAAACTAGTGATCAGCCCATTACTTGATTCACATTAATTTAGCTAAATCATTCACCGTAACTTTTCCTTATTGACTCTCTGTGTTTCTCACATTCATTTTTCAGGCTTGACAAATTCAGATAAAGATAGAGCCCCTCACCCTTAAAGGAGGGTCTCCAAGTATGACAGGCTTCTGTGAGTCAGTGTGTACAGTATCTCACTTTAGCAACCACTTGCAAGTCCCAGATCCTGCTTTTTTAATCTCTTACTCTAATAAAATTTAGAGTTCTGTCTTCCAGAAGATGATGAAGTAAAGCTGACAGGACTGATTCTGAATCCTTCCAAACAAAAGGAGAGAAGGCACAATCTTCTGAACTATGGTGTGGAAATATGCCACCAAGATGCTAAATGTTTATGCAGGCTAACCTCAAACACTAACAGCTATTTGAGCATTTCAAAAAACGGCACAAATCTCCTCCATTCTGAAGTCTTCTGTTGTTCCCTTTCTCTGTAAGGGAGGAGGATCTATGCAATACATTCTTATCATTCAGAATTGCCTTTATTCCAGGTCAGTTTCAAATCTAATGTCTTCTGACATACATCCAAAAGGTTACTGAATTCCATCCCCTGGAGACTTCAGGAACCCTGCTGACCCATCTGCACTAAATCTTGATGGGAGATCTTTTATTTTCATTGCAAGACCTGCCCTGAGGTATTAAAAGAGAGAGAAGCGATCTGTTTTCATGAAAATTCTACCTTCTTTTTCGTGTTCTATAAAGTGAAACCAGGTAGGAACAAGGTAATAGAGGATGATTTTAAGAAGCAGAATTGTGCTGCTGCACACAGAAAGGCTAGGAACGTGCTGAAGTGCCCTGTTGGAATGAAGACATTTTCATTTCATTCCACTAGTAAAAACATATGGAACCTCACACGATAAGGCAACAAAGCCTGACCTTGCAAGGCAGAAGCTGAAAAATGCAAGCTCAGGATGTAATTCTCATTCACCTTCATAGTCTAAACATCCTGTAACAAGACCGAGACTTAGGTAAAGGAATGTATATGTTTGTATACACACAAATGTGATATTCAGAAGTACTTCAAATGCACACACCATTAACAAACAGTTCACAGCTGTAGGACAGCTAGGGATGTGGAAGAGTGAGCTTTCTCCGTGTGGTGACAGAGGTGTTAAATTGACTTAGCTGTACTGTGAAGCCCTAGAATATTTTAACAGTGGATATCAGGATATCAGAAACCCTTACAATTCACAATGCCATTTAAGTACATACCAGGGGAAGCACAACCACTATTTTGGAGACTTCTCAGCATTGGTCTGCACATAGCAAAGTGCTAGGGTTCTTTAGGTGTGCTTTTTTTTCCTCCCCCCCCCTTCCTTTTTTTTTTTTTTGAAGGGAAAAAGATAAAGGTATTCTCAAACATATCAAGCCTAAGTCATGATTTCAGTATAGTTGACTTAACCCACCGTCCCTCTTGAAGTTTCTCAGGGGAAGGAAGCAATAATCCTTCTTAGCATCCTGGGTTCAATGAGAACTGGCACATCATGCTTGGTACCAAAGACTATACGCCCAGAAAGAAAGTGTCTGACTTTAAGGAATTCAGGAAAAAAGTAACACAAACAATTAAGGAACGTGTTTGGAAAAGACTTAGCTCATCAGAATATAGCAAGCTAATAACTCTAATGTACCTACTGGGGATGTAAGCGATAAAGAAATAGAAAATTAAGGAATTAGAGAATATCTGATTAGCTTTAATTTCATATAATTTCTCCATTAGAAGAGCCTTAGGCATCCTGTGTGAGAGCGTGCTGTAAATAGTATCTGAAAGGAGATGGAGGGTAGGACTGAAACTCCCATCAGCCCTTGCTGCTGCTGGAAGGGAACTGGTACACTCTCAAGCACATGGCTCTGCCCATTCTCTTGCACCAGTTCTGACACTCACAAGACCCTTCTGCGCTCCAAATTAACCAACTACCATAGCAGAAGAAAATTTTTTTTAAACTAGATTTGTTCTCTGACATTGTAATCAGTTGAATCAGCTAATGGAAAGGTCTGATAAGCAACAGAAACAGCAGATGCAAGAGAATGCCACTGCAGGGGAAGAAATGAGAGGCAACTCCACCTTTCAGAGGTGGAAAAAAAATCTTAAGTTACCTGTATTTCATGGAATTGTATCTTAACTGGGCAATGCTGAACACTTCTTTCATAAGACACACTTTCCTCACGTATCCTGAGCCACTTGAAATGATACCATTAAATGAACCTAATTAACAGCTCACTCCTGTTGTGAGATGCTCACCTGCCCTTCAGGGAACCATCAACCTTGCTAAGCCAAGAGAAGACCAAAGTAAGAAAACCTTGCAGGCCTAGAGAGCTGAACGGCTTCATTGTGGGGGCTCAGACAATGGTCACACTTGACACAGGGGGATGAGGTTAAAGATATCCCCTTTAACAGTAGCAGGCTGTTGTCTCAATACATCCATCTCATTTCACTGCACCCCAGGCCTCTTGCAGTGCTAATTACTCCTTGGAGTCTATAATCCAGCAGCTCCCCTCAAATTACAAGTCACACAGACTTCCTAAAGTATACTAGGCCTTAGCATTGGCCTAAGCTTTTACACCCATGCTAACCAGAGAAGCCCTTATACTATATGCCCAGCTTCCTACCCTCTACACACTTCTGCGTGTTGAGTTTTTAAACGGCCGGCTCTGTAGGTTCCTCTACGACCGGAGACTCGAGGGGCTCAACAGTATCTCATAAAGGGCGGGGGGGGGAG